ATGGACTACTGCCTCAACATATGCTGAGTGATAAAGGAAAGCTATAGAATATATGGTAAGATTAAATTTCTGTGTAAAGAAAAACACATTTATTGCTTTATATGCATAGGAAAACAGTCTAAAATGATATATAATAAAGTTTCAAGAGTACTGTACTCCTAGAGAGGGAACATTAGGGAAGAAAAGGAAGTAATTTTTTATTTTGCTTTTTAATTCATATGATTGTGTATTTTGAATTCCTTTGTTATAGGATATACATGTATTGCTTTTGTAAATAAACAGATGAAAAATAGTAATTTTCCAAAAAGAATCCTTATTCCTAGAAATAGAAATAACTAGTCCCAAATGTGATTTGCATTCTGTCCATATACTCCTCTCTTGGAGATCCTGCTGCTGCCCTCAGGAAAGTGTAGGGAGGGGCTTTTACTTAGGTGATTGACAGGGCTCTGCAGCCATCTTAGAAGGACAGCACCAGAAAGACTAACATGAGACTCCTTCACGACTGTGTGTTGGGGGCTGTAGGGGCAAGTCAGATGGCATAACAGCCACCTATCACCCCAGTGAAGGACATGGGGCAGGCCTTGAGTCCAGAGAGAAGAGGATTGATGCTAGAGGGAGAGTACAAAAGGCTGGTGGACTTTGTTCCATCTTGTGGTGTGGGGTCGGCAGTGTGTGTGGGTCTGGGTTAAACAGCATGGATCTTCCCATTCTTTTTCTCCATGGTAGCATGGAATGAAGGAAATTTGATCTCCAGCCTTACTGACTGGTGTGGTAGGAGACTAGGTACATTAGAACCAGCATATGGTGAGAGGCCTGTGTGGCAGCGGCTAGCAGTCCTTTGGACCCAGCTCTTCAGCAGAATTGTGCTGGAGAAGACAACTCGAATGTATATAAGAGACTTGTCCCCCAAGACCCCAAGCCTAGAGGACTACTGAGTGAATCCCCTGAGTCAACCACCACAATAGAGGGCCTGCTCCCCTAGATAAGCCCCTGTGGGGTAAGCAGCAGCAGTGAGTGGCCCTCTCCTGTGACACACTGACCACCAGGCGGCACAGCCACAGCAATACCAAAGGGGCCTCAGCAGCAAGAATTAGAGAACTCAGCACCTGAGAAGGCTTCTGTTTTCCTTTTGAGACAACAGAGAACAGGACTAACCCTCTGGTCAACAGAAGTCGCTGAGGGAGGACCCTGGAATGAAACGAAGAACGCTATTATAAATATGTACAATAATGATTCAGAATCATTAAATGTGAGTAATAGAAGGAACTGACCTTGTTATATATGGATAGCTTATAATTGGACATTATTTTCACATATAATCTAAAAATAAATCAAATCAGTGATGTTAATAAATGCAATTAATTCAGGAGAAGGACAGAAGACAGAAGTGTTCAAGGTAAGTGTGCAGACAGGACTTTAGCAAATCCTTAAGGATTCTTCTTGATATTTTTCTCTCAAGTCAAATGGGTTAAAATATTTCAGTGATTACTTGAACATTATTAGAAAATATAAAAATTGCCTCAAATTAGTCTAGTGAAGATTTTCTTCAAGTTGGATATAGAGATATATAAGGCTCACAGCAGCCCAGGGATAAGCCACATGTCTGAATCCTGTTAGTGTGCAGGAATGGCACATGTAATTTAACATCATTCTAAACTCTGGAGCCCTTTCTTTCCAGTTTGGCATGCAGAATGTCCAATTTTACCCTTGAAGGGCCAACACAAATGAAAGCAGAAAGCAGGTACTTGACACATAGTGGTCACTAGAAGAGCTATGAAGACAGGGCAAGGGAGATAGGTACAAATAATGTCCAGTCCAGTTTTAGACTTGGCCCAGCTTTCCTCATGTAAAATCATTTATTTCCTTCCCTATGTTCCTCTGGCTGGAAGCTTTCCTTCAATTCCTTGGTCTCATTTCTGCCCTAACCAGTTGTCTATAAGCATAGGCCATTAAAAAAAGTTCTTGAAATATGTCAGTGAATCTTCTTGAGTAGAAAACTCAAATGTTTTCATGCTTTCATAGTTATGACCTTTCTTAAATTCCTGGGAAGAACGCACCAGGTAAAATTCACCACCTCATTCCAAGGTACCAAATAAACATGGATGCTAAGTCAGAGCAATGCATTTACTGTACATGTATGGCTTCCAGCCAACCTGCTGCCTCTTGGTGTCTCCTGGATGCAAGTTCTGGAACTGCTGTTCTCATGCACAGTGCTATGAACGTGTTGAAGGAATATGGTTCATCCAGCCTTCACAAAGGTCTCTGAAGCCTGGAAAATAAAGACAGCAGTTGCATGACAATTACTCTGAGAAGCTGATGAACCTTAAGGTTTTTCTCTCCCAACAAATATTAACCCAATATTTCTCAATAATTTCACGAGGCTCATAGACTCCTGGAACACATTTATAGGACCAAAGATACCAAGAGCAAGGCCCTGTGCAAGGAGTGGATGCTAGAATTTCTCTATAACCTAGGTTCAGGTGGGTTATGTGTTTGAGAAAATGAGAAAGTTTGTCATTTTCTTTTCCTTCCTTTATCATCCTCCTGTTTACTCTTCCCTTAACAATAAATCCTATATCCTATTCTTGCTTTTCACTTGGGTATAAATGGTTGCTGATGAGGATTAAATGTGATGTGTGAACCAGGGATTTAGCTCAGTGGTTCTGCCGCCTGCCTCATAAGCGCAAGGTCTTGAGTTCAATCCCCGGTACAAAAAAAACAACAACTGATGTTTGAAAACAAAATACAGTCTGTTCTGCTATAGTGTGACATACACATTTGTAAAAGTCACTTCCTCACACAAAATTGCACAATAAAACCATGGGCTTTTGGAGAAAGTGAGGTTTGGGATAGAACACTCAAGGAGGTCTCAGAGAGGGATTGGGTGTGTATTATCACAGGGAGACACTCAGGGCCACAAACAATGATTCTAACTAGGAAGTATGACTTTCACCTGTTTGACAACTATTAATGGCATGGTCACTCATGTATTTTTTGCTTAACGGTGACCTATCCATACCCTTCCTTCCATGGATCTATAAGTTATCCTCTCCACTGTCATCCATAGTCAGCATGCAGACCTCCTGGGATTTTACCATGTGCTGTACTTAGCCCTTTACTAGGAAAGACTCATTGAAGCCTCATTACAGCTCTGTGATTAGATTCTGTCTTCCCTTTGCAATAACATACCCAGCATCACATATGCTACTAATTGTTAAAAGTCTGGATTTGAACTCCAGCACTTTGCTTTAGAAATTGAACCCTTAACCACTGTGGTTAGTGACTTCAGGGAGATGAGTATCTATTTAGGTAGATAAGGAAAGCATGCACCAGGACCCTGCAGGTAAGGCTGAGAGGCCAAGTGGCATTCCTTAGTCCATATCAATTAGTACATTTATGAAGAAGCCACCTCTAGAGAATACAATGATTACAGGGAGGACTTCTTGATCATATTATAAGAATTCTCATCTACTATGTAAAGCCAAACCTGTATATTCTTTTTTTTAAAATTTGATGGGTAAAGTTACTAAACCTAGAACCTTTCACGTGCTGGGAAGTGCTCTATCACTGAGCTATATCCTAAGCCTTTAAAATTATTATTATCATTATTAGTTTTTATTTTAAGACAGAGTCTTGGTAAGTTCCCAGGCTGACCTTGAAATTACAATCCTCCTGGTTCAGGCTTCTGAGTAGTTGGGATTACAAGCATGTGCCACTGCACCCAGAAAATTTGTATATTTTTGAGTAGATATTGCAGGATAAAAAGACCACAGTTAACCAGAGCAAATCAAGTCCAAACTCCAATTTAGCTTGGCTATATAAGAGAATTCTTGTAAGGCCTATCTGTGTACAATACTGTTTTTGGCTAGACTATTATATGAAACTTTCTCAAATTGGGTAAAGAGTCTCAGGGACAGGAAAAGCAGAAGAGAGGAGTGTGATAAAACCATTTCTAGACTTTGAGTCTTTTAACTTCTACCTATGATAGATGCAGTTAGAAATGTGTTGCTAATACCCAGAGGAAAGAATACCTAACAGAAATAAGTAACACTACTCTAAGAGAAAAAGAACCATTTATGGGTATTTCTGATTTTGCTGTTTGTAAATTTTTTAAAATTTGGATATGAATGAGTATTAGCATTTTTCATTTAACTGATGCATTATACAGAAGAGGTAGATTTTAGGTAATTTGTATGTGATTATTTTAAAGAAGATACAGTGAGATCCTGGTTGGGGGTACATTTTTATAGAGTTCACTAAAATCATTCATAATATTTATAAATCAGATGGTTAAATAATATGCCAGAAGCCAACACTGATATTATTTAAAGATGCTCTGGTGAATAATTGGAAACAAATTCTATTTTAATTTGTTGAAGCCTGATAAAAATCTAAAATATTCTTGCTAGTTAGGAAAATACTCCATTTATTTAAAATTTCCAAAAGGTAACCTCTCCTATATTTATGATGGAATATAGGATGATTTCACTCAAAAGACATAATCATTACCATAAGAAATGGTCCTTGTTGCCACTTTACTCATCAGAGAAGTGCTCTTATGACTGTCAGAGAGAATAGGTAAGATGCCAGGGCATACAGAGAAAAAGAGATCAAAGTGTTTGTATTTACTTTTTAAGATCTTAGAGTATCTACTGCTTATCACACACACACACACACACACACACACTCTTCTTGATTCATATTGAAAATTGGAATTCACCCATTTCTCTCTTTTTCCTGTCTAAGATGCAGATTGGGCACATTTCGTTGACTCCATCAATCCCTGCCCCCACGCATTAGCACATGCACACGTACACCTAGCCAATGGAAAAGAAAAAAGAGTTACTCACATTCATCCATTTTACAAAGATTTCCAGGCTGCAATGGGAGGGCTTTACTTCTCCTTGAAGGATGAATAAATAGGTAGCTTTACTGATAACCTGCTCACAGTCAAACTGAAGTGCAAAGGAGACCAAGGTCTTGCTCCACTGTTGGTACTCATGAGATCCAGTCCTGGCAACATGGAAAGGATAGTTATCTGTCTGATGGTCATCTTCTCGGGGACAGTGGCCCTTAAATCAAGTTCCCAAGGACATGATGGTTTCATGATTAGAATGCGTCAACTTATAGATATTGTTGATCAGCTGAAAAATTATGTGAATGACTTGGTAAGATCATACTTGTTACAACAAAATTTAAGTAGTATTTTTCAACTAATATAAAAGGAGCCTTTTGACTTATAAAAATAACTCAGAACTAATTTTCTTTTGCTCTAGGATCCTGTATTTTTGCCAGCTCCAGAAGATGTAAAGGTAAGACCTGCTGAATTGATTTCTGAAAATATATTTGATATGTTTTAAAATCCACTGAGAAAGGCATTAGGATGGTTACTTAGGAATATACTGTACTTAATTTCCATAAATTTGGAGGTTTAATAATTAGAAAATATTTATTTCTATTTTTATTAAATGTTCATAGATTACCAGAAAACTAACCAATAAAATGCTATATTATATTCCTTATAAAATATATGTTTAACTTCAAATATCTTTAAGACTTCTCTGAAGTAGCATGAAGACAGAATAACAAAATTAGAAAAGAAATCTATACTATGATTAGTTTTGGTGCAATGAAAAGCTAGTTACATTATAAGAGCCCTTGGGCACGAAAGCTCTTGAGCCTTCTTTGTAAACTTATTTAAGAACTATAGATATATATAAGAACAAAATTCACTTTTTAAAAACAAGCTAAAAAGAAATAGGGTGGAGAAATAGTAGTGTAGCAATCAAAGCCCTCTTTTAGAGTGTAATTCTCATATACCTTGTCCTCAGTGAGTCTTGTCTTGGCCTCCGGTGAAGTCTTTTGAAAGGATCACTTTGAAGAACTCGTTCCATCTCTTGAGCTATTTAAATTCAAGTCCCAAGGAGAAGAGTTCTGTTATGTAGTTTAGGAGTGGTGTCTGCTGAGCTTTTGCCCCAGTAACTTCAATCTGATCTTCTGGTTTGGACCCTGAGAGGATAAATGCAATAGGGAAATGTTTTCATTGTCATAGATCTTTAATTGCATAAATTAGGATAACTATGAAAGTGCTACCAGTAATTAGGACACTACAGAGGGGTAGATTTATAAAGATACATTGCAAAGAAAACAATTATGGTAAATGACTATGTGTAAAAGTTTAGAAAGTGAATGAGTCACAACTATTGCTTTTCTCTAAAATTCACTCTCTAGCTCTAAACCTAACCACTCTCCTACTTACTAGATTCTTTTCTAATGAGCAACATCTAAAATGAAAGTAGCACATTCAACTTATTGGAAGGCCTTTTCTAATAAGTGAGAATATTTCTTAATTCACGTGTCTGTCAAAACACATAGTTTCCAGCATTTCATGAACCAACTTTATCTACAGTAGTTAAGTCCTTTCTAGAGCTTCCTAGCTGCAGACTACAACTTGCAAAATAAGAAATCGAAAATATTCCATTTTCTAACTTGATTTGGTCCAATAGGTATAGTACTTCTTTTATATGCTTTATTAATAAAAAGTTTTTTAAGTTTAAATTTTCCAGTAGCCAGTTTTAATATTTATTATTATTATCAACACATTAATTGTACAAATAATGGGATTCACTGCGATATTTCCATATGCATATATTGTGCATAGATCATGTCCATCCAGCCTTCTTTTACACACTCCTCCCCCTCTAGTAATCCCTCACTGAGAGACATTTTTTATGTTACATCATCATAAGAGGATTTTGTCTCAGAGTTACTGTATCTGTCTGATAATCTGATTGAGCAATACTATCTATGAGACAAGTGAATAACCATATAACTAAGATCTTTAAGGTACACAGGTAGGCAAACTCAGGAAGAAAATAGTCTACATTAGCATTATACCAAGTTTTTCAGGGCAAGCATCAAAGCCAGATCTGTAGCAGACTTTAAAAGATTAAAAAGTTTAATGAAAATAAAGCCATTGAAATGCTGCATTTATATAGTGACTATCTAAGATCTCTAACTGGTCTCGCTAAGTTTGTTCTCTCTCTCTTTCTCTCTCTCTTTCTTCCCTCCCTCCTCTTTCCTCTTCTAATCTTAATGACCAGTGGTTCTCAAGTGGCGCTGAGTTTGGACACCAAAGAACACCAGCTGAAGAAATTTTTGGTTGCACAGTTAGGGATTTAGGGATGGAGGTGAGGTTGCTACTGGCATGTGGTAGTGAGACAACAGGGATGCTGCTAAATGTTCACAGATCTGAACATTTAACACATAACACAGACCTGACAGCAAAATAATCCAGTCCAGTATGTCAATAGTGCTGCTGCTGGGAAACTGATATTGTGTGTAAGACGAAGGTAATCTTACCAAGTTAGTGAGATTTCCCACTAGGAATAGCAATTTTTTTATTTTTTGTAAAAGAAAAAAGTATAAGGAGGCAAATATTTCCAAATAGTCAATTGTAAAACAACAGAGCCCAGTATGTCTCCCTGCCCCTCCCCCCCAAAGCAATGCTTGATTTGTTCTCCACTTTGGCTTTTAACTTCCTTAACATTGCTCCTTGTAGTCTGGAAAACTAACACAGTACCAGAAGAACTCATGTTTCCATGTGTTAAAAGGATATAGTAAACAAAGCTTGCCCTTGGAGTTTGCTTTCACCAAGGCATAGCGAAGGAAAGCAACGGGTGCTCACATACTTGGACCATCCTGTAAGCTTCTGAGCGACAGCACCTAAGGCTGCTAGAGCCATGGGTAATCTCTCCACTGTGCTTCACATATCCTTCAGGAAATGAGCAGGGACAGCTCCTCCAGGTCTTTTCCTCTTTGAGGCTCCCTTTGATGTGCATCTAAGCTTAAATCCAGCAGTCATTTGTCCTGGATCACACTTTGTCAGGGATATCTCTGCTGCTTGCAGGACTAAGCAAAACACTTTTATTAATGTGAACATGGAAGAGTAGCACCAGAAGCCATCTTTCTCTTTTCATCATAGGGCTTTTGAGAAAGGCCTCTGGTGTAAAAGCTTTGGCCACTTGTCTTGACCATTCCTGGCAATATTTTCTTAAAGGAGTTCATTCTATATGACCCCTCTGCTTCTTTGGAACCTAGTTTTCTTTCAACATACAAATGAAAATGTTAACTCAGCATAACGGGCCTCTGTGAGAAATGCTGGTTTCTCAGATCATCACGGATGAAGCAGTTAGTGTTTTCAGTTTCAGCTGGAAAATTTACCTCTTTAAATATGAATATTATTTTTTTCCAGTAAGTTAAGCCGGTTGTGGTCAAAAAGAAGAGAAAAGAAAAAAACTTCAACAAACATGAACATGTGGTTTTCAAGGAAAAAAAAGTGCTAAAATTAACATTTATAAATAGTTTCTATTAAATAAGCATTTTGGCAAATATGGAAAGGACAGCACCTTGCCCTTATGAAAGGCAAGTTGCTCTGATAGAAGGAAAACCAGATAAGCTGGTTCTCAGCTTGTGGCTATATATGCAAAGCAAACCCAATGGGTTGTGTCTTAAAGATGCATTATTAATCAACATTCATGTTGGGTAAGCATATGGGTTGGAAAATGCAAAACAGGCTAGATGCTATTTTCAGCTGATTGTCCATGAGAAGATTCAGGTAATGTTTTGTGTAGGAATGCTGTTGTAAGGACTGGGAGGGATTGAGGTTTCTGGCTATAAGGTAGTAGCTTCCATACACTTTAGTGGAATGAAGACATAGCAACTCCAGGGGGAAATAGCATCACACACACACATCACACACACACACACACACACACACTTGCTGAAAGAGAAAAGGTAACTTGAGTATAAGTAACCCAGACACAAACTCTTAGATCAGCACTAACAGTTGTTTTGAGGAATATATATATATTCATATTCTTAATCATTTTTGATCCCCTTTCCTTCCCACCTTCCCTTATCCCTCCTTCCTCCAATCTCTTTCCTCATTTCCAAAAACTCTACCTTTCTATTTCCTATGACCTTTATTTTACTCTTTAATTTATATATATTTTTGATTTCTTAAGAGAAACCATGTGATATTTAACTTGTTTCTCATTCAACATTACAGTCTCAAGATCCATCCATTTTCCTACTTGAATTCTTCTTTCTTTATTGTTTAATTATACCCCTCAAAGAACTAAAAATAGAAATTCCATTGGAGCCAGTTATACCTCTCCTGGATATTTTCCCTGAACAAGTTCAAGTCATTGTATTATAGTGATTCTTGCACAGCTATATTTGTAGCAGTGCAATTCACAATAGCTAAACTATGGAAACAGCCTGGATGCCCATCAACAAATGGATAAAGCAACTGTATTCTTAAACCAAATTGACTGTCCCTTACAAAACACAAAGATCCTACCTACCACCCAGACATCAAAATGCCTTTCAGTAGAGCACTAGGAGTAAAGAACTGTGAAAATTAACACTCCCTTCCCTCATTTCTGCAGTATAGGAAAACAAATGTCCCTTCTTCCCTAAGACAAGAGGAAATTTTCATGCAGCCACCTCCATTTCTTTTGGCCAAGATTAAGTGGAGGTGAAATCAGACTTCACTCTTCTGTTGAAAGAAATGTGATCCAAAACACTTAATATATTGAGATAGACATGGACAATCAGAAAGGTCATCTTAACTTTCTGAATAACTTTTATTAACATGCATACAACTTATTTCTTTTTCAGGAACACTGTGAGCACTCAGCTTTTTCATGCTTTCAGAACGCTACACTCAAGTCAGCAAGTACAGGAGGCAATGAAAAGATAATCAACATATTAATTAAACAATTGAAGAGGAAACTACCTCCCTCAAAGACAGGGAGAAGACAGAAACACAGACAAGTAAGATTGTCATTTGTCACCTATTTTTTTGTATTAACTATAATGTAATATAGCTATTATAGCCCACATGCACACACAGACACACACACACGCACACACACACTTTTAGCCAGAGCCTCCAATGCCTTCCTGAACAGTTGTACCTTATCATAAATGGTAGGTTTTGAGAAATGGGAACTCCTCTTTCTAGTACTTGAATCTCAACTGCTAGCAAATTATTAGAATTTCCTGATAATATCTGGAATATACATTAATTTACTTCACAAGGCAAGAGATCATTAGGAAGAGAATCCAATTGTGAGTTAGAAATTAAGAAATATTTCCTTCTCATTACATATATGATCACATATTACTTATATTCTTATTAGTAGGAGCTATCTTCTAGTTTTTGGGCAAGATAAAAGTCTGCAAGAGGCTAAGATAAATCTCAAACTGTTTTCTTCTCTTAAAGAATATTGTTGTTCTGGACAATAGCAGAGTCAATATAGAATTTAAATAAATACACCCCATTTCTTGCCTCGTAAATTTCAGTGTCCCCTGTTTAGGGGACCTGAGTCCTTTTTATTTCTTATGCCAACTCATGAGCAATGCTGATACTCAAGAACACAAGTAATTTAAACATTAATCAAAACCATGGAAACCACATAAAATAAGTTACTCTAAATTTTATCAGTTCTCCCTTGTCTAAGAAACTCCACATGTGATTCAAATGAAATCTTAATTACATTATCAAGATAATTCTTACTTCCTTTGATTGCATGGCCAGGTTATGTGAAAAATAGCCTCTTAAAACTTTCTTCATAAAGAAAGGAGTTGAGCATGGCTTTCAAATCCCAAACCAAAGACTCATGAAATGGCATTGTTGGCATTGAACTCAGAACTATCCCCTTAATCAGCTTTCAGTACTACCAAAGAAGTGACTTGCCCCGAGTTCCAGAAAATAGTAAACTGTCGGAATGAGAACTAGAACTTACCTGTTATCTTTCAGCCAGATGTTCTCACTACACACTGAGGCTGATATTGAGTGCTAAGTATCAAGCAATGGCCTAGTGTTTGGTATCCCTACAGGAATAAGAATAGAGACCGTAAGCCAAGAAATTAGGAAGTAAAGGAAAGAAGAAATAAATATAACCAGCCTACACACATGAAAAATTATTTAATCTTCCTAGTAATCAAATAAACCCCAGTTAAAATAAGGGAATCCTACTTTCCAATTTAGAATTTAAAAAATACTCCCAAAATAAAAATGTTCCAGGTAAAACTTTTTACAATATATTTTAAATGCCTTAAAATTTTATCCCCTTTGGGCCGGGGATTTAGCTCCGTGGTTTCGCTGCCTGCTGCTCAAGCACAAGGACCCGAGTTTGATCCCCAGTACCAAAAAAAAAAAAAAAAAAATTATCCCCTTAATTTCATTATTCTGCTTCTATGAGTTTTCAAAATAAACTAAAATGTATATGAAAAATTATTTACAGATGTGCTCTTTGCAGTATTGTATTCAAAGGTGAAAAGTGAAGCAACATGTGTCCAAAAATAATAACAATTCCATTTTATGTTGGATTACAAAGCAACTATTATACATCATATTTTTTAAGAATACTTAACATGTAGGAAATGCTTGTTATAATTAACTAAAAATAAAACAAATTACTAACTAGTGTAACATAAATGAAAATAAAATTTTAAAACAAAACATTAGGAGGATACATATTAATGTATTGTAGTGGTTATCTCTGGGGTGAGATTACAAGTGATTTTTCCCATTATTACTTGCAGAACAATTTCATGTACTTTTCCAAATGTTGTTCAGTGAACACAATTTCTGTCTTTCATGGAAAAATAAATTTTAAATGAACATTTTATTAAGCAGGAAAAAATTTTACAAGGAAAATGTTATTTTTTCACTGATTTCTAGACATGCCATTCATGTGATTCTTATGAGAAAAAACCACCACAAGAATTCCTAGAAAGAATGAAATTATTTCTCCAAAAGGTAACTGATTTTCTGTTTTATTTTTACCTATCCAAATTGCCTTTTATGTTTAGATTACTCATGGAATACTATTTCCACAGATGATTCACCAGCATCTTTCCTAGAATGCATGGGGCAGGAAGATTCCTGAAGATATAACTTGAAGCTGGACACTATATTATGTACTGTAATGCAGTAGTGAGACTCACTTCCTGGTATTCCAAGTGCATAAGTATAATATATTAGTGGTGGGGAAAAAACCTCAGTTAAGTGTGCAAAGGTAGGATTATTTCCCCCAAATTACTATGAAGTATTTCAGTTTAATCCATATGCTTGCTCCATGTTTGGTCAACTTGGGAAAACTTTCTACTCAACTAGACTCTGGTTTCATATGTCATAGATTTCTATGTCTACTGAATCTTTTACTTTATCTTACTGCCAAACTATGATGTCTCTTGACTGGACAAGAAGAGTAAAATTTTTAACCAAAAATACAGTGTGGGAACATACTGATCTTGATTACCGCAAGTATGAGGTTTATTATGATCATAATTTAAAAGATGAAAATATAAAAGCTAAAAATATACAAGCATAGGATCAAAACAAAAAGTTGAAATCTTTATTCTTTTAAGGAAATGAAAACTAAATGTTTAAAAATTTATATCTGAGGAGTTCAGTTTTTATTTCAGAATGTATGACATATAAACATGTAATTTTTACATGGGAATAGTTTCATCAGATGGGTACAAAAATATCTTACTTTGTCATTAGGCTTATGAAAATATTTAAATACTATGGATATGAATGTATTTATGGAATAGACTTTTATTCTTTGTTGGTGTTTTAAAAAAGTGGTAATAGCGTATTAAGAAGAAGGTTGAATATTACCTTCCCCTAATCTCAAGTCCCTTTATAAGCTAATATTTGAAGCTTGTGAAAATGTCAATTAAAATTTATAGAGGGATATACAGGATGTAGCCTTCTGGGACCAAATAGCTAAAAAGTCTTGTTAGTTGTTTTCTCAAATTGCTATGGTTGTATTATGAGTGAGCTGATAACTCCATATGTCCATCTCCTTTCTTCCAATCTTTCTTTCCTTTCTTCTTTTTAAAATGAAACTTCTGTGATGAAGACATTTCAAAACATGTTTAATTTTTTGACTCTGTTTGCATGCTTTGTATACCACAAATTTAATCACTTACATAAAACAAAATCAGGAAACAAATTAGGAGGCCAGGAGTCCTGTCCTGATTCAAAACAAACTTCTGCATAAATGTTCTAATCTTTCACTCATGAGCAGTAAAAACAACCAACCTGCTCTAACTTCCATTTTATATCAATTCTAGCAGTTTGTTTAAATATAGAAACTCTAGAATAATAAAGTTTTCACTAAATGGTATAAGCTATTTAAGAATTTCATATTGTTAAAATGGCTCTGAGTGTGCATGAGGATGTGGGTGGGAAGTGCTTCATGCTCTCAGAAGAACATTTATCTACTTGAAAGTGTTTTAAAAACAAACAGATTTAACGTACAGTTCTAAAAGATATATGGAAAATCAATTATTTAATAAAATCTTAATGAAGAAATAGAAACATAACTGGAAGCAAAGCACTCTGCTTTATCATTACAAACAAGGTACTTTGTTTTAAAATTTTAAAATATGTTCCTACAAAGAAATCATGGAAATACATGCCTATTGATGATGATAAGCATATAAAGCCTGCCAAATTGTTAAACGTGCCAGCCCAGGTTGTTGAGATAAAGTTGAAAGTGGGCACGGGGATGTAAAACTTCTGAAAGAAAGTGTATAAAAAATAAGAGTCTAAATTTTTTGTTCCTTGCATTTTACTTGTTGACTTCTCAACATTGTGATTTTATATTTAAACAACATATTTATTTTGTTTATTGTCAGTAATCTCTGTTCTAATCTTTTCACTAGTGTATCTACTCTAGTAAAAATAATTTTTTTTAGTAAAAATAATTTAATGAGGCATTGGCCAGAAAAGATCCCACCAGCACCCCAGAAAAAACAATGCTTTAGAATAAATAAGATGAAAAAGTGAGACTTGAACAGATCCATCTTCTTCACTGCTTTGTGGTCTAGATTTAGCCAGTTCTCAAAGGGATATAAAGATAACCCACGCACACCTCTCTTTACTTTTGAAGGTGATACAGGAGACCTGAAATGCTGTTGGCTATGAAATTATGGCCACTTGCTTAAGCTTGTTTTGGTTCCCCTTTCCTTATCTGTGGAACAAGGGTGCAGACTCCATCTGAAAGGCTTATTTTGCATTTTTTAGAACTTTCTATATCTAGGAGTCTCTAAGATTCTGGGTACTCTTCCAGGAACATCTGACCACACTTCTGAGTAAAACATTGTACTGAATCTGGTGTTTAATTGCTCAACATTATTTCAATAGCATTTGTAGCAATGCTCACTGCAGGAACAAGGACAATGTTCCAATGAAAAAAGGAAAGGAAAAGGAAGAAAGGATGAAAACAACAAATACATTGCTGTAAGTAATGGGAGTATGAAAGTTCAGGGAAAATTAATCCTGACTTTTTGCTATTTTAGCTAAAAGTGTCTTCTTTGGATGCTTGTGTAAAATTGTAGCATTATTATTCTATATTATTGCTCTGTTGTATTTACATTTGCATCTGAGAATTTAGTTTTAATATAAACTATGTACTTTATTTCACTTTAAAAATATAAATAAATGTCTTTAATATTTTTTATTATTTTCCTAGGATTATACTGTTGGGAGGTTGATCTTTTCAGCTTTCAACTTTCAGGATTATGGAAGTTGGTATGGTGTCTTTCAGGAGTATAGCTCTAAGTGAAATTGAAATCCAGTGCATTTACTTACCAATGCTTAACTTTAGGCAAGATATTTAACTTTTTCTGTTCTCAATTTTCTCCATTTCTTAGGATAAGTGATGAAGATTAAATTATATAGCTTATATCAAATAACTTAAAATATGAAAATCTTTACTATATTTTCATATGTTTAAGATAATATTAATAGCCAAGAACTATGGGATAGATAGATGTGGCAATGAAATGGAATTTTTATTTTGTGCAAAGTAGCTGGCTCATTTGAGCTAAAATTATACCTTTGTAAGGACGAAAATTATGTCAGTGTAGGTTTTCCTCTGAAAGTCATCCCTAAGAAAAGGATTTAGGCATAAGTACTTTATTTGAGAAGTAATTCCATGAAACATCAACAGGGAAAAGGGGAAGTGATACAGAAAGGGAAGGCAGCAAGAAGGGCTGGCTGTGTTAGGAAGCCAGTTATCAAAGTGGGTAACTGAAACTCTTTCCCATGGAAAAATTCTAATAAAGAATATAAAATACATCCTTTGGAGCT